ACAGCAGCCTCTTGAGGGCCCCTTGCTTAGAGGGGAGGGGTTTTTGTCTGTTTGTTTTGGGAAATTTCCAAATCAGAAGAAGTGTGTGTGTGTGTGTGTGTGTGTGTGTGTGTGTGTGTGTATACATGTGATTTATAGATTTTTTAGGATGGGGCTTCACTAACTCTCCCCACCTCTGCCTCCTAATTCTGGGATTACATACATGCCACTGTTCCTATCCAGCTCCATATGTAAGGAGCAGAACATGACCGTTGGACATACAAGTACATAGTGCAATGGTTCCTACTCGACAGAAGTTAGCAATCCATTTCACACACACATTACCACATTTGCACGCCCACTGATGTCTCTGCTTCCAGGCCTGGAGAGGAGCTTCCTTTAGGACAAGGAACATTGAGCTTGCCTACCACCCAGCTCCCAAATAAACACACAGAGACTTATTCTTACTTATGAATGTCCAGCATTAGCTTGGATTGTTTCTAGACAGCCTTTCTAACTTAAATTATTCCCATCTCCCTTTAACTACGTTCTGCCTCTGGCGTTTTACCTTTCTTTATTCTATATATCTTTCCTTTCTCCTTACTCCATGGCTGGCTGGGTGGCTGGCCCCTGGCGTCCTCCTCTCCTTTTCCTTTACTCTTTCCTGTCTTCTCCCTCTCTATCCTAGACGTCTCCTCCTATTTATCCTTTCTGCCTGCCAGCCCTGCCTATATCTCTCTCCTGCCTCGCTATTGGCCCTTCAGCATTTTATTAGACCAATCGGGCGTTTTGGGCAAGGAAAGTCACACAGCTTCGCAGAGTTAAACAACATAAACGAATGCAACACGTCTTTGCATCACTAGACAAATATCCCACAGCATCAATGAATGTGACACATCTCAAACTAATACCAATTTTGTTAATCTTCATGGTTCTGCTACCCACCCCCTCCCTATCACTCTCTGTTCTTCTGATAACCAGTTTCCTCTTCCTAAAAAGTCCCCTTCTTCACACACACACACACACACACACACACACACACACACACACACATGAATGCGCACACCACACAAATAAATAGATAAATAATAAGAATGATACTGTCCAGGAAATATGTCCACTACCAAGTGGGAGTCAATAGTACAAATGGGTGGGCAAGCAGAAGCCTGAAGGACAGCAATGCCGGTAACGGTCGATGAGAAGACCCTGGCTTAAGCTGGGTACAAGCCCCTCAGAGACCCCTGTACCCTAAGCCAAACCTGCGGTGATGATGGCTTACATGGGAAACTGACGCCAGGTGTGACAGCTAAGAGTCTTGAGGTGGAAAGATTATTCTGCATCATCTAGATGAGGCAAAGGAGGAGCAGAGTCAAGGGAAGACGCCAACACAGACTGGAGAGAGGGTGAATCGATGCCAGGCAGAGACCGTGACCCAAGAAACGTCGGTGACCCCCGCTGGATCACAGGAGCTTTGGTGACATCTCCATTTTACTCCATTGGAGGAACGGTTTGATTTTGGATACCCAAAGCATCAAGATAAGAGACTCGTGTAAGCCGCTAATTTTGTGATAACTTGTCAGCCTAGCAATGAGGAACCAGCACAGACACTATAGCAGAAAGAGGGTCAGGGAAGCAGGGCTACTTTGTGGCGTGGCGGCCGCATGAAGGGCTCTATATTTGATTCTGAACTGAGAGACACCAGCGGAGGGTTGTAAGACAGAGAGCAGCATGTGCTAGCAGAACAACATGGTTGCTCCAAGAAACACAGAAACGAGGGCAAATGCGGAGAGCAACCTTCACAGGTATCCAGGAGCAAACTCGAGGATATCAAGGAAGAGGCCCCAAGGGGGCTTCCCGGAATGGAAAGAGGCTTAGGGTAAAAAGGAGAAAGTTTGACAGGAGCAGCATGGCCTGAGGGAAAGAGCTTTTTCTCCTGACAGTTGTATTTATGATGCTATCAGACTGGCTCATGGCACCAAAGCCCAGACAGTCTTCAGACACACTGACCAGGGTCACCAACGTCCTGGGGCCCTGCTGTGCTCAGTGTCACCCAGTGGGCATGTTTATACTGCGTGCTCAGCATACACACACACACACACACACACACACGCACAGTCAGAGTCAGCAGTGCTGGTGAGAGGTATCAAAAGGTTTGTGAGGGGTAAGGAAAGAACAAACAGAAGTACAACTGCTGTTTGAAGAGTGTGGTTAAGAGGGTTCCAGAATTGCTTTTAAAAGATATTTTAAAACTTGAGGCAGAATTATGTAAAACATGCCACATTTCAGTACACGATAGTAATGATGCTGAAAACCAATGACAAGAGGAAAAACTTTAAAGCAGTTAAAGGGAATAAAGGTGTGTGTGTGTGTGTGTGTATGTGCGTGTGTGTGCATTCCAGTGTGTATGTGCATGTGTGTGTGCATGCATGTGTGTGCATGTACATGTGTGTGCATGTGCATATGTGCTCTCATGTGTGTGTATGTGCAAGTGTGCATGCATTCATGTGTGTATGTGTGTGCTCATGAGTGTGTATATGTGCATGTGTGTGTGTGTGTGTCCTTGAGTTCCAGGTCAACCTGAGAACCTGTCTTGAAAAAAAATTTTAATGTTGTCACCATACTGTTTTTGTGTGTGTGTGCAAAATGTCCCTTTGAAGTAAGAGTTCAAATAATAACAAAAAAGTAATGTTTGTTCCAGAATCAAATATTTTGAATATGTCTTTGGGATCTGTGGAAAAGTATGATGAATGTAGATAATAACTGGGTTCTGTACATTTCAATATTGAACCTCAAATGTTCTCATCCCAAAACATGTCTAGTCTTAGAAGTGATAGGCTAGCCTGATTTAATAATTTCATGCTATGTGAAAATCATAATGTCATTTGGTACTGTATAAATCTGTACAATGGCATATCAATATGTAACTTTTAAAGGTAGGCCCAATGTAGGATATTCCTTCCCAGGATTGGTATGAATTACATAGGCGCTGGCTGACTTGAGGGGTCCCCAACGTGCCTTTCTGTGTCCCCTGTTGCTTGGCTTTGGCCATCATACCCAGTGGGTAGGACTTGTTTGTCTGTTCTTCGGTATACATGGCGATGCCCTAAGAACAACCCTGGCAACATGACAATCAGACTTGACTGGAATTAAGTTCCCCCCTCCTCCATCCTTCCACCAGTTCTCTGTTGAAAGGGTTTTGTTACAAATCTAAATGCAATGGTCTGGGTTTCCAGAACACTTCTGAGCCACATATAAGGAGAGGCTGGGAAAGGCGTCGGCTAAGTTTGACTTCAGAGAGACTGCTGTGTCTGTGTGCCCCACCTCTGGCTGGCGAGTGAGTCTGTGGAGGGCCTGGATACGTCACATAATTCTTGCCCCTCCTTTTCCCCCAGACTTTGATGCCAGGGCCATGTTTACAGCCTGCTGCTGTGTCCGTTCCTCGGTACCTCATGCCACGCCAAAGTCTAAATCTGTTTTATAAATTGTGTAGTGGAGTGTGGATGAGAGGGATCCTAAAATAAACTACTAAAGGGACCTGGTTCCAGAACATTCTTCTCTGGGTGGTGACTTTTCGTTGGCACGCCTCTTGCTTCTCTCTCATTGTGTCTACGGAACCTGCCGTCTTACTACGTGCCAGGTTGCGTGGTAGGCACAGTATCTCCATTGTCTCATTTCATGGCAACCCAACTAGGGACTCTTGCCACCTCCACTTTACAGCTGAAGAAGTCAAATGTTGGGGTGCAGAGCAATTTGCTTATCTAGGGTGTCAGCCTCCAAGGCCCCTCGACTTCCAGGACAGACCTCTTTCCAGAACTGACTGTTCTGGGTCTCCTCGCTGTGACAATGGAATTCAGACCTTCGAGAATGCTTTAGGAGGAAGAACATCTGTTACTCTCTCCACTAACAAGAGGCACAACCACCCGGTGAACCCTCATTTGAACATGGGCTTCTATTGCTGTGGTGGTGCCCGTAGGCCAACTGGTCTACCATCAAACTGCTCTACACTTTGTGCTTGGGTTTGCCTTGTCTTATGCAGGGAAGGAATAGGGACAGATGGTATCCTGGGAGTCTGGTGAAGAATTACAGAGATATACCTACACCTAGTACATATGAACTGTTACCATCCTCTAACACCCAGTAGGCCCCCAAGCACGTCCTTTGGAGAACCGCATAGCTGGAAAAATCCATCTGTAAAGCAAAGTTAGCCTTTTGTATTTTATGTTATTATTATTATTTTTTACCTAGCCACACTTGTGTCACACAGTCACAACCAGCTGTACAGCCCTGAAGTGATTTTTGGTTGGTCCTTTTCAAATTAGATTCAAGTCTAGGCACACATTTGGGTCATCCTGTTCTTTCCAGCTCTGTAACTGGGTTCCTTAGCTGTCACTCATAGTTCGTTGTGTACTGGGCTGTAACATGGTGAATGAAGTTAGTACAATCAATCCTTGGAGAGGCTCCTAGCACATGGGGATACATATGATCTGTCTCAGGAACTCCCAGCGCTCTTGAAGATCCCCCCTCCTGAGCCCCGGTACACTTTGAATGCCAACTTCTCACAACCTAGAATTATCTAGGAACAGAGTCTTGCTTAAAGAATTGCCCAGATCAAATTGTCCCATGAGTATGTCTGTGAGAGACAGTCTTTATTGTTAATTGATGCAGGAGAATATCCTGGGTCACTGTTGTGGAATGTTCCAAGCATGATGGTCATTACCATCTTGATGGGGAAGTTCTGTGTATATGTCAATAAAGCACTGTTGGCCAATAGGGAAGCAAGATAGGAGGGACTAGGAGTCAAGGAGTACTCCGGGAAGGAGAAACACAGAGAATCAAGATGTAACCGCCATAGGGATAAGAAGCTCGGAAACTTCTCTGGTAAGAGAAATACTTAGATTGACAATTATGGGATAAATACTTAAGTCAGAGCTAGCCAGTAAGAAACAAGCAAGGCCAACAGCTTCATAATTAATACAGCGTCTTGTGTGTTATTTGGGGACTACAACGCGGCAGAGCCCAGGCGACTGGTGGGGAAAGACCAAGCGGCAGCAAGAAAAAGGCTTCTCTCTACACCATCTAAGTCAGAATATATGTGATTACCTCTGAGAGACCCTGTTGGCACCCACAGACTTTCCCTTCTAGGAATGGGGGAGGGGTGGTCAGTAGACCTCACCTGAGATTTTATCTACTCACTCTGTTGTGTGTCCCTCCCCTCCGGGCTGTGTGTGACTCAGATCTCAGGAGGGACTCAAGCACATACAGTGTGTAGCCATGGCGGGCAGGCAGGGTACCAACACTTCGTAAGCAGCCTCCGTTCATACTCCCGTTAGTAACTAACAAACTCATTGGTCACCGAGATGGATTTGGATGGCATCATTACTTTTGTCTGTCATTGGTGCCTAACTGGGGTGAGCAGGAGACCGCATTTCCCAAGGAAAAGCTCCCAGAGTAGTCACAAAGGGGGAACCTGAGCCCACAGCCAGGCTCCACACAGGCAACTCCACGCCCCACCCCTATCAAGGCATCGGGGTTAATTCCCAGCTGCCAGCCAGTATTTAACTTTCCACATAAGATTAAACATTTGGATTTGTAAAAGCCCAGGATTGCAGACTCCAGTCGGCAAGGGCTTGCTGGGTCTCAAGCAGAGAGTGCCCAGTCTGCCAAGGTTTATGTACGGTCCTGAAGAGCTAACGCCAGCCAGCAAGAAGGGCAGAGCCTGGCTTTCTGGAGGCCTCTTACATTGCTCACACGCTGTGGGTAAGTTTTATTATACATTCTTTGTTTATACATTCTTTTTCGAAAAAAAAGAATTATAGAACTTTTTTCCTTTTTCAGAGAACTGAATATTACACACACACACACACACACACACACACGCACACACGCACGCACGCACGCACGCACACCCTGGGCATGTCTCAATCATGCCTGCCTTCCTCCCCTTTATCTCTCCTCCCCTTCCTTCCTAGCCTTCCCTTGCTCCTTTCTCCAGTGATTGCCTTCAGCTGAAAATGTTGAAAGTGCTCTTTACAAATGAAGGATTCAAGCCAAATGCAGGTAACCCTATCTTCTCCCATAAAAATACTAGACTCGGCTGACTGCTGTAGGCTCCGATAACGGTGGTGATCCATTGTATTTTGAGCAGAGAACGCTTCGGTCACCAGGGTCAAACGCACACGGCTCTCCTCACAGTGTCCAGTTGTCCTTGGCGGGTCACCTTGCATATTTGTGGCAGGGGTGGGTCACCTTGCATATTTGTGGCAGGAGCAGTTGGAACCAGGGGATCGCTCGGTGGCCCAGAGACAACCAATGGACACACGAAAGCTCAAGCCCTGGTCTCAGTCCTTTGTCCCTTGTGCAGTTGGGCCAGCCAACCAGCCGCAGGAGGTGGGAACATGGACTAGGACAGGCTGAGTACCCGGCACTGGCCGGGGTCACTGGGTTCTAGCCCAGGCACGATGGCCACGTTGAGAGCCCTGATTTTAGAGGCAGACCTCTAAGTGCTAGGCTGTAGTAGCGCCCCCACCAAAGAGCAAGCTGGTGTCTGTTCTCCGGCCACCCATCCTGTTCTGAGACTCAGTGAGAACCGTTTAGTGGAGATACGCTTCCCCCTAGGTGGAACCACGTGACGCTGACCTACATAACCCTCAGGCAATTTCTTACAGTTCAGATGATTGTGCACAACCGTTCTCTGGGTATTTCTAAAGTACAGTGCTTCCCTTGGGATTTATAAGGGGGAGCATGTGTGCCAAATACGGTGGCTGTCTGTCAAGTCAGTGGTTACTCTAGGAATCAAAATTTAAATTAACCCGTTATCATTTTTTAACATTCACTTGTTATTTGTCCTTTACAGAGTTTAAAATTTTTGCACGTTTTAAAATTTTAAATTTATGTTTAATGTGTGTGTGTGTGTGTGTTTATGTGCGCCTGTGTCCATGCATGTGCGTGTGTGACGGCAGACCCAGGCAGACCACGGCACACATGTGCACGTCGGAGGGCAACCTCAGGGAGCAGTCAGTCCTCACCTTCTGCTTTGTAACGACGTCTCGGGTCTGCTGCTGCGTTCTCCAGGCAAACCGGCCCGTTGGTTAGTTTCCCAAGATCCTCTTGTGTCCACCTCCCGCCTCACCCCAGGAGTGCAGGGATTACATTCGCAGGCAAGCGCCTCTGTGTGTGTGCAGTTTTGCGTGTGTTCTGGGGACCCAGACTCGGGTCCTCAGGCTGCTCGGCATTTTACCCGCAGAGCCTCTCCCCAGCTCGTCCTTTGCTGCGGAAGATTAGTGGGTGCTTCGGCTCGTTCTCCCTTGCAGCTCCTCTCCCGTCTCGCTGACCCCCACCCCATGCTTGGGTCCTTCTGCCTCCAATACTCTCTTCTCCACTTCCCTCGTGCACCCTCTGAATATGTTTTACCACGACCCCTACCAACTTTCACGCGGCGCATCTTTCCACGGCCGTGAAACGCCGCGCTTCCCAGCCGAGCCGCACCCCATGCCTCAGTATGGAAAACGGCAACCCTCTCAGATCCTGCTTGCTCGGGCTGGACAGAGGTCAGCACCCAAGCATTTATTTAATCCTCGGAGGCCCTTTCAAGCCTGTGATTAAGTCTGAACAAAAAGCACCCGTGACCTGCTTAGCAGCGGAGAGCCGAGCAAACAGTGGGCGTTGCAGGCCTCTCTCGGGCTCTCCCGGGCTGGCAGCTGGGCCCGCACCAGGAAGCAGGCCTGAGTGGCTCCGGTGGAACGCACCGCTAAGGTACCTCAGGGTACCCGTGGAAGAGATTCTTAGGCTGTGGGGAGCCAAGGAGTCCCCTGAAACTGAACTTAGAGCTTCCTGTGTGCATACATAAACCTTACGGGAGAAAAATAATTTTGGCTGGACTGTCCCAGCAAACTCTGTTTTAGGTGGTAGTGCACATCCCTGCCACGCCTCCTGGAAGCAATCTTATCTGTTTGCTGACTTCCCTTTTTAAGCTACCAGGCTTTGAGTGGTGGGGAAAAGGAGAGAGAGAGAGAGATCTTAGAGACCTTTGAAGGACAGAAGTTAAAATGTCAGGTGGGGGCGGAGCTATGGCGTAGCGGTTAGGAGGAATTTGCTCTTGAAGAAGAATGGAATTCAGTTCCCAGCACGCACAGGTGTGGCTCACAAGGGTCTGTAACTCCCAGTCCAAGGGGCCCAACACCTTCTTCTGACCTTCTTAGGCACCAAGCATGAACATGGTGCGTATTCATACATGCAGGCAAAACACCCACACACATAAAATTAAAATAAGTATATCCTTTTTTTTTTTAATCAGATGAAAGGCATGTGTTGGGGACAGGTTTCTCGGTGAGGGCAATTTGGGAAGATGTGTCCCGTGGGAGAATGCCCGGAAGTCTGGGGTGATCTCCTGATGAGGAACCCTGGCGCCACCTGTGGGTGACGGAGAGTACTGACACTTGTTCAGGCAGCTCACACAAAGTGTGCGGGCAGGAGAGCGAGCTTAGTACTCTAGGTAGTCAGGCTAGTGAAATGCCTCCAGCAAGAACAGCTCAGAGGGAAGACAGCAGGTGGGACTAGCTGGCCGCACCTCAGCCTTGTGCTGTAAGGGTTCAGTGCGGAGGGGGTCAGTGGGCACTCAGGCCGGGCCAGGTAAGCCGTGGTAAGGAATTAGGAAGTTATTTTCAGGACGTCAAGGAAGGCCAAACATCCTGCCATGTAAGGTGATGGCATCGCCCTAGCTCCCTTCTTATGAAGAGAGCATCCTTGCGCAGAGAGAGAGGGGGTCACAGGCAGCCTAAAGAGGTGTTTCACGGAGGACCACACAGTGTTTCTGAGAGACGGTGGTGGCTGGGCAGAGGCAGTGGGGACGAAGAGGAGAGATGGATTTGAGGGCTGAAGAATGTTCAGCTGTGTCTTGGCATCACTGTCTAAAACACCTTTTTCGTGTGTGTGTGTGTGTGTGTGTGTGTGTGTGTGTGTCTGTGTGTGTGGTGTGTAAAATCTGTCTGCTAGTCACAACCAACCTCTTGACATCTACCTCCCTGAAGGTAGCTGAATGGAGAAGGGGCCTTAGCCTTCCTAACCTGTCCCATCATTTAACCACAGCAAGGGAGAGACATGGCTACACTGGCCAATTTCACACAGACACTGGAGGATGTCTTCAGAAAGATCTTTATCACTTACATGGACACCTGGAGGAAGAACACCACAGCCCAAGAGCAGGCGCTTCAGGCCAAAGTTGACGCCGAGAACTTCTACTACGTCATCCTCTACCTCATGGTGATGATTGGCATGTTCTCCTTCATCGTGGTGGCCATCCTGGTGAGCACGGTGAAATCCAAGCGGCGGGAGCATTCCCAGGACCCCTACCACCAGTACATTGTGGAGGACTGGCAGGAGAAGTACAAAAGTCAGATCCTGCATCTGGAAGAGTCCAAGGCCACCATCCACGAGAACATGGGGGCCACAGGGTTCGCGGCGTCACCCTGATAAGTAAGACAAGGGTGTGTCTGGCTATGAAGGGGTGCCTCTGTCACCTAGCAGGTCAGTAGGAAGCTAGTGTCTCCCTGAGCTGGAAATTTTCTCGGCGATGGCCTAGCTGGCCAGGTGACACAGGTGACATTTCTATCTCAGTGCCTTACATGAGCCCATTGGGGTGACACTTTGCGTTGAAGATCTCTTTTTTCTACTTGCTATGCGATGTAAATGTCATTTAAATCAATTTCAATCATGGGAACCGAGCCAAGAGGGCCTGGGCAGGGGCGGTGGGGATCGAAAGCAGAGATTTACAAATCCTTCTACCTTCTTTCTCATATTAAATATTAGTCTGAATGTAGCAAATTCAATTTACAAATAAGTCAAACGTGTCATTCAGAATCCAAGGTTTAAATCTATTATGGACTTGTCGAGCTGATAGGTTAGCATTTACTTACTGATGCATGGGCATGGAGTCCTCGGTGATGAAAGGACAGAGGCTGGGTTATTTTGCATTTATGGCTCTCGTGGTATTTAACTGTTTTGGACATCTGGACAGAGCATACACTAAAAGAACAAATAATCCACACCAGAGGCCTCAAATATTCAAGAGCTACCCAATGCAACCAAAGCGTGTTTTCAATTTTTTAAAGACACTTTCAAAGTTCTCATTAAGAAATATGGCTCTTCCAGAGGACCTCACCCAGACATACATGAAGGCAAAACACCAATACACATACAATCAAATTAATTAAACAAAGTTAAAAAAAATTGGATTCCAGGCCAGAAAAATAATTTTTAAAAATTTGGCATTTCAAAAAAAAAAGAAAAACAAACAAACAAAAATGTGGCATTTCTTCCTAAATGTGTGTATGTGGGGGGTAGGGAGTGGAGAGATATTGGTCAAAGGTTACAAACCTTTAAAGGGACCTAGGGAAGCACACCCATAACCCCACCCGTTGGGGGCTGAGGCGGAAGGAGCTAGCTGAGGTTCAAAGCCATTCGAGACCCATTGTACTGTAAGGTCAGTAACAACGCTTTTCCTTCTTAAAAACTGCTAAGTGGAGGGCACTGTGGTGCACACCCTCAATCCATCACTCCAGAGGCAGAGGCAGGCAGATCTCTGTGAGTTCAAGGCCAGCCTGGTCTGCAGAGAGAGTTCCAGGACAGCCAGAACTACACAGAGAAACCCTGTCTCGAAACAACAAACAAGTAAACGAAACCAGATGCGTGGATGTCAAGTGTCCTTACCTACACGAGATGCTGTATGTTAATCATTCCATAATGTGCATGTGCTTCAAAATACCATGTCACATGCTTGCATACAATGGAACCTATCATTAAAAAAAATAAAATGAATATTTTGTACCACAGAGTACAGCATGCCAGAGATGAAGATCACCTTGGGGGTCACCTGAATCCTTCACGTACACGTGAGAAAATGACAATCTATCGAGGTTAGACATTTCCTTCATTAACTCAACCACGTGGCGATTATCTGCTTGGGTTACCGGCCTGGGACAGGGAGGGGGGGAGGAGGGGGGAGACAAGAGGGGACTGAGATCCCTTAAGCTGCAGGAGCTCACACACCGGGGAGGCAATCAGCTGGGCACTGGACCTCGAGGAGTCTTAACACAGGTGGACAGGAAGTGGACACGGCAAGAGCAGAGCCATGATGCTGAAAGCAGGAAGCGGGGAGCAAACGAGGGGCAGGTTGGCCCTTAGCATCATGTGCTTCATACGCTGCAATCTTCCCTCTGCCATGGCCAGGGCACCGCAATTGTGAGTGAGGTTTCGAGACAAGAATCAAAGACGCCCATTTCTGCTGCCACAAGGGACGACCTGATTGGGTGATTCGTAGAGGGTTATTTGAGTTCATGGTTCTGGCGTCTGGGAAGCCTGGGAGCAGGGACACCAGCATCTGCTAGGCCCCTAGTGAAACCTCCCACTGCTTTAATTTGTGGCAGGAAGAGGAAGAGCCAGCTGGTATGTGCCGAGGAGATCACACACCAGACATAACCTCATTATAACGATGCGCGCCCTGGTGTCAATCCAGTCCGGGGAGTAAAACTCCCTCCACAAGAGGCCATGCATTCCTTCAGGCAGGGCCACCTCTCAAATGCCCCCACATCTCAACATGCTGGGCCCAGTTTTAAGATGAATTCTGACGACCAGAAACCATAAAACCAACTACAAGGTTTGTCTCCAGAGAGTAGCTGCTTCCTACGACATCTTGCATTTAGCAACCAGAGGGACTAAATTGTCTTAGAGAGAGGCATTCACAGTCCAAGAGCAGATCTATCAGGAGTGGCCTCCTTCCTCAGACCAGAAGCCATAATTCTGATGCATGCTAACAGGGCCATTCTGGATGACTTGACCCAGAGATCCCAGCCTGGGGATTTGTCTAGCCAGGGTTTCTATCCTGGCAACAGGCTTTTCTTTTTATCAGACTCCAGTCAAGGCCCTCTGAACCTTCCTCCTGATGAGGCCCCAACCTTGGCCACTAAAAACTGCATACTCTTGATATAAATTATGTCATCAACCTTCATAGCCTAAAGTTTTTTTCCTAACAGCTCAAAGGTGAGTCCTTGGAATTATCCCAGCCCCTTAAAGTACCTGCCTGAGAAAAATGAACCACAGCCAGGGGAACTGACCGCACAATCCAGCCACAGCAGGCAGAGAGGCTACGGGGTTCTCTTGGTGCAACTGAGAAAGCATCCAGCTACAAATCCTCTCTCTTTCCCTTGGAGTAATGAGTCTTCCATCATCTTAGAAATGCAGACCCTGGGGCTGGAGAGATGGCTCAGAGGTTAAGAGCACTGGCTGCTCTTCCAGAGGTCCTGAGTTCAATTCCCAGGAACCACATGGTGGCTCACAACCATCTAAAATGAGATCTGGTGTCCTCTACTGGTATGCAGATGTACAAGCAGGCAAAGCAATGTATACATAATAAATCTAAAAAAATGCAAACATTGAAATCCTGCAAGAGTAATTCTTTCAGCATCTAGAAGTACCTCTTTGAAATGCAAGCATTAAGACTCCAGCATCTAGAAATATATCTTTGAAATGCAAACATTAAGACTCCACTGATTATGGACCATTCAGGTCTGTCCGAGTCACATATGGGGAATTTTTCTCCTTTAGAGCACAGAATTCCCCCCTCCCTCCTCCACTGTTCATAAATTTCCACTTGGTTTATCTGTCACCTGGGAAAATATATTGGTGGCTAAATCGAGGATTTCGTTATTAAGCATATTTTATCATCAACACTGTAAAGTATAGCTATGACGTGGATTTTAGTCAGTCGATAATATTTGGAGGAAATGCTACATCTTCCTGTAGTAAACATGCTCAACTTGACAGGATTGAGACAAGCCTTGGGGCATGTCTGTGGGGAATTATGTAGATTGGGTTAAATGGGGGTGGAAGGGACACATACTCTGAATGGGTGGTGCGGTTCCCTGGCCTGAGATCCCGGATGGAACAAAAAAGGAGAAGACCAAGAGAGCACACACCTCCGTCACTCTGTGCTTACCCGCAGTGCACTCTCTGGTCAGCCTAGACCACCCTCCCCCTTCCCTACGTGGCTTTTGTGACAGTGCAGGCAGCTAACACACCCAGCATGGGTGTCCAGTTGTCAATCCATTTACCCCAGCCTCCCCCTCCAGTGTCAACTTCCACCAAAGCGAGGCTTTTCAAATGAAAATGCCCATTCAAACATCTTGATGGTTTTTTGTTTGTTTTGTTTAGTTTCGTTTGTTTGTTTTTAAATCCATTCCCTTTAAGAGTTCCTTCTGCTTAGCCTGCTGGTTCAGGACAGCAGATTCGAAGCTATCTCCCAGGGAGCGGGCTGACCTGACTCTGCTTTCACAACAGAGCCCTAGCTCTGCCACGTGCTGGCTTACCTCCGAACAAATCATTCTCTGTACTCCATTTCGTCCTTTGGGGAACGGTTATAATCATAGTGTGTCCTTTACAGGCCTCATAGATTTAAATTAGACAATAGACTCGATACGCTTACAGCAAAGCTTTATTTGCTACTTTCTCTGAAAAACAAAACAAAACAAAACAAAAAACTTCCCTTGTAGGCACAACCAAGTCTGCTTTCGCCTCTGCATGCTGACGCGGTCTGCTTCATCTCCACAAAGGTAGACACCCTGAGATCTGAAGCCAGATTTCTTGGGCTCAGATACCCACCCTTCCGCTGCAATTTGCAGGACATCCAGGGCTAGCACCGAGCATCGGCCTCCCCCTCCACGGGAAAGGAGGGGTTGAGGTGGGGGGCTCGGGCGAGCACTTTCCCTCTCCACAGCCTCGCCCAGCCAGGGCGGTGCTGTGCGAGCCTCTCTGGGAACCTAAGGCAGGGGCGTCCTTCGGTTACCCCACAGGACGGAGCATCCGTGCTGTCCCCGTGGAGGAATGCTAAGTCTGGGGGTGGGCCACCCTTGCGGTCCGATCTGGACTTCTGCAATAGCCTCAATCACCCAGGACGGCTCACGGGCCGCCCTGGCGCCAGTGCTGGGAGACGCAGGTGCCTTGACCCACTGCGCCTGCGCACCAGGCGGTGACCTTCTGGACGGCGCAAGCGTGCGGAGCGGTGCATTTCGGGACTCGTAGTTTTCCCGGCGGGATTGTGGGAGTCGTGGTTTGTCAGCACCCGGCCAGGAGGCTCGCCCGCCCGCGTTGAGTTGTAAGTGTGTGATTGACGCTTTGGGGCGCTGGGGGACCCTCGGCCACCCCGTGTTTGTGCTTCTCCCCGCATGACACTTGCTGGCCCAGCCACACAGCGCACGGGAACCCTAATATTCTGGTCGCCCCGCTCTGGAGTCGAAGGGAGCGAGAGGTGGTAACTCTGGGCCCTCTATTTCGCCCCTTAGTGAGTGGATAGAGGGTTGCACGTCGCTCGCGTGTGTTGGGATGGGGGCCCGACTGGAATAGCAAGGCCCCGCTAGATCCTGTGGTGCATTGGATCCAGCTTGCAAAGGAGGTGTGCAGATCCAGCCAGTGGAGAGCGGCGCCCTGGCTCTGGTTTCTCGGAGGATCCCCTAAGTACTGAGAGAGTTTGGGCTGCCCAGACGGGTGATCTAGATTTCCTGATGCCTGTGCGCTTAGCGGGCTAGGTGAGGCCCAGGGGGTCACCGGCACCCTGAACCTACCCGCACGTTAGCTGTAAATGTGGGTGAGGAATTAACGTGAAAGGGGTTAGGGTTAGACTGGGCGTGGTAACAGCTCCAGAGAGTTCCCGGAGCTGCTCGGGTGAGAGCGGCTGAAGTGAGAGGGCTGTGCGCTCAGAGAGGCGCACCCTTGACTTCCTAGGCCTGCCAAGAAGCTAACGGAGCTCATGGGCGAGCGATGTATTGCCCGCGTTGTTTTAATTGAACCTGATCAAAATGAGTGCAAACCTTTTTTGTTCCTAGGAGAGGGGAAAAACTGGCAAAGGGGAGAAAGGGTATTTTCGATCAAGATCAAAACTACTAGCAGTTTTCCCTAAACCATCTTGTAATTGTTGAGGGTTAAGCTAGACCGGTGTGGGCGCCAGTGTTTCATTTATTTTCATGCCCTCCAGCTGCCCCGACCTTGGTGGTTTCATTTCATCCCTCCTAGGCCAGGTGCCTCTTGTTTCTGATGTCAGAGCAGACTCCTCGCTGTTACATTTAGCTTTCTTGGTTGTCTCGTTTGCAGAAGGTTTGCAAGCTGCCGTGGAAATGTCTGCTTCGGCGCATGTAGTTTAAAGCAGACGGTGAAAACGAGCAGGGCCGATCTGGGTCGTTTGCCCTCTTCTATTCGCCCAGCCCAATGGACTATTACAGATTTCCTCTTTCTGCTGCCTCTTCCTCCTTCCTTTCCTCCTCTCCTCTTCCCCCTTCTCCTTTGGCAGCGTCCCCTGTGTCTGAGACGGGGAGAACCACGTCCACCTCCAAACCCTAGGACCAGAGGCATGCCATGAGTTACTTGGAGTTGAACCTAGAGCTGTGTGCGCATCAGGTCTGCACATGTGACCTCCTGGAGGGAGAGGGGGAGGGAGAGAGAGAGAGAGAGAGAGAGAGAGAGAGAGAGAGAGAGAGAGAGAGAGAGAGAGAGAGAGAGGCTGAGCCATGCCAATCCTCTGTTTCCTTACCTTTTAACCATACCTGTGTACCATCGATTCTGTGACATCAATTCCAGAGTGGGAGACTCACTCTTTGGACCACAATACCACAAGTTAAGAGGCTCAGGAGGTTAACAGCTTTCCCAGCCATATGCCCAGCTGTTAGTGCCACCTGGCGTCGAGCCCTGCCCACCTTCTCCTTGGGCTTATTCTTTATACCACACCTGGCTGGCCTGTGCTGCCCGCAACCTGCCCTGGTGTGGCTTGTTCCTGGCAGACTATTAGCAGAGCAGAGAGATTGTCAAAACAGCAGTACTTGACATTGATTTAGTGTTTTCTGGGTGTTACTCCTTGCTCTTAGTGATGACCGCCCAACTTCTGAAGAATTTACTGGTGAAGGAGGCTTTGAGAGGCCAAGTACCTGACCCAAGGTCACATTGCTCCTAAATGTAATATGTTTGCCAGACTTCCAGACTCCTGGGGATTATTTTCATTTATTTACTCTCGTAAGCTTCTTGGGCCTAAGCCCATGCATATCAGTTCAAGTAGGTAACTTGTGGGGAGACAGTTAAATCACTGACTATATATGTATACAACTCAATTAAGAAAGAATTATGAAAACGAAGTGGAAAAGAACTTAAATATTTTGTTTTAATATGCAGCATGGCTAATCCCTAAAATTCCCAGAGATTCAAAGTATAAATTCCGGCAGCAGGTTGGAACATGCAGAGAGCCTATGCTTTCATCGTAGGTCAGACTCTGCTACAGCTTAGAGGCAAATGCATGGGTAATTGGAAAAATTTTTTTTCTGAACCATCTCCCATGAGGTTTACCCAAGAAAGGAAGCCGGTTGGGAAGGCCTGTGACATTTTCCTGTTGCTTTTCTGATTCTGGTTGTAAGTTCACGTGAATACAGGTACCCCTGCCCCGTGGTTTTGAAGCTCTCTGCCTGTGTCCCAGTGGTTTGCTGAGGTTAGAGCTCTGGGATCTGACTAACTGAATGTGTGGTAGGCAAGGAGAGAGGACCCTAGGAGCCCACTTGCCTGGAGCTACGCACACTGCTTTCCCAATAAAACTAGCTGGGATACCCCCCCCCATGGATCTGCAGGCACACCTCTTTAAACAGAGGCTATGGACATTCCAAAATGTAGCTCCCTAGCAGCCCTCAGTAACTCCTGCTTGGTGACCAAACATATCCTGAAACTAGGGAACGTGGCCAGATCCAGCACATGCTGGTTTGGGGTACATGCCCAGTAAAGCAAACTATTACCTCAAAAAGAACATTTATGGGGGGGAAATCCCTATTTGTCCTCTTTTGGCTGTGCCTAATTGGGAGCGTGTACAAATGCATCATGGGAAAGGGTGTGAGCAAAAGCTTACACAGCCCAAGCTTATCAATTAGAACCAAAAGAACACCCGCAGCCATCAGCTCCCACGCCTCCTGCAACCACAAAAGGAAGCCATGGACGGTGATCAGTTGCTCTTGTCCACTGCAGCTCAAATAGTCCATGGCCTCTTGTTCCATTATCTGGCCTATACTACATTTATGTGTCTGGGTAAAATTTGTCATCACTTCTCTACCTGTGAACTCTTTAATAAGTCGCCAAGGACCTTAAGACACCAGTCTGGGACAGAGACCTCCGGTACCAGATGGGTTCAGATTCCAGTCACACGCAGAAGAGCCTGTGTGCATCCCTTAAACCTCATCTCTTCCCCCTTTAAAGTGAAGGCTGTGACATTATACACCAGTTGACTTAATTCGTCTAAGCACAGACGGGCACAGTAGAGCCAGCTGTCAATACCCATGCTACAGAAATAGTAGGGGCCATCTGGTTGACACTGTGCTCGGGCTCTTGGTCGGATCTCAAGTGCTCTGGCTGTGAGGCAGGTGTCATATCCTAGGATAACAGACACAGGGCTGTGCCCATCACTTGCTCTAGGTCTCTCTTTCTCTTTAGAAGGGCTTTCATGTGCAAGTTAGCTGTTCTTCGGGACAGTTCTTTGCTCTCTTTTATTCTTTCCCTCCAGATATCCAGATGATATTTGGGGGGCAGGTTCAAGACAGGGTTTCTCTGTGTAGCTTTGTAGACCAGGCTGGCCTCGAACTCACAGAGATCCGCCTTCCTCTGCCTCCTGAGTGCTGGGATTAAAGGCGTGAGCCACCACCTCCCAGCTCCCCCCCCCCATAATTTTTCTAAAGCCGGGATGAGCGCAGACAACACTCAGAAGGACTTTCGTCCCTAAACTAGCTTGAACTTGAGTCAGGAGGTGGGAGGGGGCATTTGTGAGTGTGGGTGTTAGGTGCACAGAGGAATCCTTGGGACTGATGTCTCGGCGCAGGGATCGTGGAGAGCCACCAGGGGGAGCTCTAGGTCACGTCCGCTCGCTTGCTCTCTGCTAACATGCTTGTCTCTGTCAAAGACGGGTTCCCTGTTGTAGTCTGCTCTGCATTGACCTGTTTCTCTCTCTCTCTCTCCTTCCCCCGGGTCAGAACGCCCAGCTCCTTGGACCTGGCCTTCCAGCTGCCGCTCATGCCTGTGTCTACGGGTCGCATTGGTCAGAAGTGAGCTCACCGCTGGGTGACCATGAACTGGAAGGTGAGACTAGTTTTAAAATCTATACTTTGTTTTTTCTTGGTCTGGTTTTTGTCTTTACATGCATGTCAGTCACACCAGTGGGACACCTGAGTTGAATAGCTGGGTTTTTGGTGTTGTTTTTTTTTGTTTGTTTGTTTTTTATAGCTCATGGGGTCTGGAAGTCCCAGCCATGCAGGTGGGGGTGACAGATGGCATGGGCAGAGAATAGAAGCAGGTAACTCCTGGGACCAGTAAGCAGGGTGAGGGAAGAGACCAGAGTCACACAGCCCCTCCCCTCTGCAGGAACACTGCCAGTGACCCGGAGGCCTCCCCCTAGGCTCTCCCCGAGGGTTCACAGTTGCACAGCTCCAGGGAACAAGCCTTTAACACATGATACAAACCATAGTGTTCAGGATTGTAAAGAAAAATATTAACAGTAACATTTTTAGTTACATCTGTCCGTCAGCGATTTCGTGCAGGTATGAATGGACCCGCTCTCTTATCTCTTTCTTATCCAGTCCCTTCCCTCCTTCCAGGCCTGTTTGTCATACCCAAGTCGTCGTCTTGTTTCGTGGCTTACTGAGTTTAGCCAGGGCTGTCTGTCTCCACGGGTTTGGAGCCTGGTGGGAGCGAAGCATCTTTATTAATAAAGTAAACAAAATGTAATCACATTATTGTTACGAGTTAAAACCTGTAACTTTGCGTTTGTTCCCCAGACCTCTGGAGGAATGCTCGCCCGTCTTTGAGTGCGAATCCTCTAACCTATCTCACTTTTCTTCCAAAAACCAGGCCTGTAGAGCCTCACTCAGCATTTCACAATTTTGCGTCTCTAATGTAGATGTCACGGTGAATGTCCCTGCCTCTCAAACATGTATGTTGCATTTCTGAGGTCAGGGTGACGAGGTGGAGCCTGTGGGGGGTGACCATGTTGTCAGGGTGGAACCCTCGTGAGTGGGCTAGCGCCTGTGGTGGCCGAAATCAGTTGTCAGCTTGGGAGACAGGCCTCTAGCCTGCCTGTGGGATTATCTCGAGTAGTTCCATTGTGGTGGGAAGAGTGCTCCATCCCAGGCACCACCATTCCCTGGACTGGGTCCTGAACTTGAGCTGACTACAAGCATTCATTGTTCTCTGCTTCCTGATTGATTATGGCTACAGTGTGGCCAGCTCCCTCAGGCCCCTCTTCCTGATTATGGCTACAGTGTGGCCAGCCCCCTCAGGCCCCTGCTGTCTGCCTCCCTCACCATGATGAACTGTGTCCTGGAACTGTGAGCCACAATAAACCCTTCCTTAGTTTGCTCTCATCAGGGAGTTTGTCACAGCAACAGACAAGTAGCTAAAACAGTGAGTGTCCTTATAAAACAGACCCCCTTTCTGCTGTGTGAGGGTACCAGAAGTTTGTAGCACATCCCGGAAGAGGCCCGCCCCATTGGCATATGACCATGCTGTCCTAATTGTCAGACTGCAGCTTCCAGATGCCTGTCCGTTCATAACTGATACACAAGCCTGGCATGGTGAAGACAGTGGCTTATGACCTCACAAAACAACCTGTACAAAACTTTGCATTTTCATAGGTTGGTGGTGGCACACGCCTTTAGTCCCAGCACTCAGGAGGCAAAGGCAGGCAGATCTCTGTTAGTTCGAGGTCAGCCTGGTCCACAAAGCAAGTTGCAGGATAGCCAGGACTACACAGAAAAACCCTCTCAGAAAACAAAACAAAGCAAATAAGCAATCTTCGAAGTTTCATGGTCCTCTTTCATAATCTCTTACAGTTGTTTTGCCAAGAGCATTGTTTTTTGTTTTGTTTTGTTTTTCCTAGCCACATGTGAGTCTCAGAGCTTTCAACTCAGTTTTCATGGAAACCACCTTTTTTAAAAAAGTCATAAATTACCCATGGGAGCACTAAAGATGAGTTGAACTGATTGGAAATAAATGCAAAAGATTCCGTTGTGGGGGCAGTGGTTGAGGGTAGCCTGCTGGCTGGCTGCATTTGGCTGGCTGTGGGCAGCAGCATCCTCAGAGGAAAAGGACAAGGTTCATTTGAATGCCTGAAACCCTCTAGCTAAGGTGGAGGCTGCTTAGCCTATAAAAAACAAGTAAATAATGAGACCACTTAGCCTGTGTCCATTACTTGTATTTCCTCTTCAGTTTATTTCCTGCTTTTTGCTTGTGTCATAGAGAAGCATGGGCTGTGACACAGGCTCCATCTTAGTAGGACTGCCAGGGTATATCCTTAAAGACAATCTTGTTCAGGTTGAATCAATTTCAGCCAGCCTAGAACAGCCTGGTGAACTGAAGGAAGTTTATGTGGCAACACCATACATTCACTGACAGCAAGTTTGTGAACGTGGAGTCGAGCCTTCACCCTTGGAATGTAAGCCTTCAGGAAAGATGCTAAGAGGTTTATGGGAAGTGAGGGAAATTAGCCAATAGAGCTCAGGAGCAACTATGTGACAGGCACGTCAATAGCCTAAGCCCTTCCTGTTAGCAGGGTCAGTGTCCTTTGTACTGTCATCTTCATGATCCTCCATTGTACCTACTCTTAGGTGTCTTAGTGGTTTGAAGTGGACATAGTTACTGTTCCAGTTAAATTAAGCATTTTCCTTTGGGGGGGCAGGTTTGAGACAGGGTTTCTCTGTGGCTTTGGAAGTTGTCCTGGAACTAGCTCTTGTAGGTCAGGCTGGTCTTGAACTCACAGAGGTCTGCCTGCCTCTGCCTCCCGAGTGCTGGGATTAAAGGTGTGCACCACCACTGCCTGACTTTAAATAAAGCACTTTCAATATTTATCTTCTCCCTGCCCATGGTATTCATATAGTATTCTATCACAAGACAACCTTCCTCAGAGGTCGTTAAGTAGCCATACCTAATGGTTAAATAGTTTCTAAGGTATTGAATCTGGTTTAGTTGTTGCTGATTTGCTTGGCTTAATTGTAAGACTGATTCTGGTAGGAGGGTTTGGTGTGTGTTACAGGAACTAAAGGGTGACAATAGTCAGGTCTCAGAACAGTGGGGTTAGCGTCCAACTCCTCACCTCTTAGGGACCTCCTCATAGTTAATTTCTCATATACTCAGTCAGAGCTGTCTGTCCCCTCATGGGGCTGGAGTGTAGTCGAAAGGAGACAACACAGAAAGTTCTTAGGGTACAGGGACTTTCCCAAATACAGCAACTGGTGCTCCATCTGCTACATGTAAAATCCACAACTGAGGGTGAGTCAAAGGATCTAGATACAATTAGAGGACGTAGTTGTGGATAAATCAGAATCAGGAGTGGGAGAATGGTTCAGTCTGGCCCCTTAGACTAGCTTTCCAGCCCAGGACTGCCTACCACAGGATGGTACCACCCACAGTGAACCCTCCATCATCAGTTAATAATCAAGACAATCCCCACAGACGTGAACACAGGCTAGTCTGGTTAGGCAACTCCTCCAATCTAGGCTTTCCTCTCAGACGACTGCAGGTTGTATGAAGTTGTCAGTCAAGCTAACTAGGATACCAGTGTGACCCAAGCGCCTAGCCTCTGTTTGAAACATTGTAGCTAAGCTAACTAAGCCACCAGTGTGACCCAAGCACCTAGTCTCTGTTAGAAACATTGTAGCTAAACTAAGCCACCAGTGTGATACCAGCCCCTAGCCTCTGTTAGAAACATTGTAGCTAAACTAACTAAGCCACCACTGAAACCCAAGCTAGCTTCTGTTTGAAACATTGTAGTTGATCAGTAACATTTGCAGAGTGAAGGAGTCTGAGACTCACCAGTGACTTCCAGAGGATTCAGCATGTGTCTTTTCTCCCTTGAGGTTCTTGAACACGTGCCCCTGCTGCTGTATATATTGGCAGCAAAAACTCTGATCCTCTGCCTGGCCTTTGCCGGAGTGAAAATGTACCAAAGGAAAAGTCTGGAAGCCAAACTGCAAGCCGAGAAGAAGCAGCGATCAGAGAAGAAAGAGAACTGAAGAAACGTCAGAGGTACTGACCTTTGTAAATGAAACCATCCAGAGGGCTACAGTGCCCAACAAGGGTGTGGTGTCCTGAGATCTCTGCATCGTCCGTCTGAGGGGCGCAGAGTCCAACTGACCCTCTACCCCCCCCACTGACCATTCATTCACAGAGCATCAGTCCTCTGTTCCAAGCTTGTTGTGCTGCTTAATGGCTGCGTGTGTGTGTGTGTGTGTGTGTGTGTGTGTGTATGTGTGTGTGACTTACCAGCTGCAGACTTGGCTCTGAGAAGCCCAGGTACTAAATACTGCAAACAATGATGCATGAATCTGCAGAGATGCCTGGCAGAGGGGCAGATGGAGACTCACAGGTCCTAGGAATCCTCGGGATGAGGTCTGACCCCCCTGGTGGCGAATAATCCCTTCCCAGTCTGTCCACAATCTGGCCAAACCTCATTTGCCCCCCTCTCCAGTCCTCAGCCCCAGTGTTCCTAACAGCTCCTCCCCAGCATGGGCCTGTGCACTGCTGTAGCTGGTGCCTCAGTGTGCTTGGGATGGGGTGGGGGGGCTCTGGAGCGGGCTAGGGTGTCTCAGGACTCAAGGCTCCTGGAGGCCGTTCTTAAGGCCTTCTCAGAGATATACCATGATGGTTGGCTCTCACGCACTTAGCAAGCTGGACTCTGGGCCTCTCAGAATTCATATATGGTGTGCAGGGATTCTAGATTCTAGATTACAGTTCCAGAATCCAGCTTCAGAGCAGAATTTCCTATATGGCTGCATGGATGCTGTGTTGCTTGTTGAGAAAACAGCTTCCCAGGCTCCCACCTCAGGAAGGGCACGATGTCCCTGGTTCAATCTGGACAGTCGTTCTTTGAAAACCCACCAGGGGATTCTTAGTCTGCTCAGCTCAGGGTCGCTGTGGGAACCGGCTTCACAGCACTGCCCACCCGACACCATGCTTCTGAAAGTAGGCGTGTCCCCCCAGGCTGTTGGGAGTGAAGCAGGGGAGATTGGGGCACCGAGGGGTGACTTGGGGCTGGGCATTTCACTACACATTTCCTGACAACTCTTTGAGGTAAATCAGATGGGAAGAACAGTGGCGAGCAGAGCTGAGAACTGAGCTCTCACAATCTGTGTCATCTCCCAACTCTACAAATGAGACTAGAGGAGCACTACAGTCCTGCCCCTGGACTCCTAAGCCTGTCACCACTCAAGAGGCCTGGGGGGGGGGGTTGCAGACTTTGCCATTCAGAAAGTGTCTTATTGACAGAAATGCAAAACTAACCAGGAGGTGCTTGTCCTCAGTGCTAGTTGGAGGAGAGGGGGTGATGAGCAATCTAAAATGCTGAAGGCAGACAGCGTTAGTTGAAACGTTGGTTGGATTTATGTTGCAGGCAGAGCCATGATTCCAGTTAACTGAGAGGATGGAAAAGATCAGCTGTGACATCAGAGCCTGTCACACCCCACTTTTCCGTTGAGCCAGTGCCAAAGCACGGTGTGCCCACCTCCGTGTAGAACTGACCAGTAGATGGCCTCTCTCAGGCTAGCGGCTTGTCAGGTAGAACGGATCGGGGAAATGTCTCAGGCTAGCCGCTTGTCCAGAGCCTGCTCTAAAGACAAGAATCTTCAGAGAGAAAGAAAGCCATGTTGCCCAGATGTTCTGATTAGCAGGTCAGGACGAGTGGCCTCCCCCGGAGTCGGAATGCTCACGCATTGATGCCGACCATGCAAAGCACTGCTGCTGTATCCAGCACCTCCTTCATTGCTGTGGTCTCCCTTCCTTTCCAGATTTTTCTATTTAAATGTCTGTTTGGGTGGACTCCAGCTGAGAAGAGGGAAGAAAGATCTAGCGACTACCGGATGCCAGGGGATACACTTCCAGCTGAGACCTTTAACTTAAATGATTAACAGCGTGAATTTTTTTTTTTACGTTTTTAGAAGAACCAGTATTTTGTTACTGAAATAAAATACGTTTCTAAAAAAGGCTGTATGCGTTCTCTTCCTCCCTCTCTCTTCCTCTCCCCACCACACGTTATGAGAGGACTCAACCCTTCTTTTCCCTGGCACACACTGGTTGTGGAGCTGTGATAGAAAATCTTGGGGGATGGTCCCCAGCAATGGCAGCATCAGTAGATGCCTCAGCCAGCCGGTCCCCACTCACCACCATCAACTTGTTTCCATGGTGACTGTGTGTTCCATCAGAGAAATTGTGTGCTTGTCTGTGACAGGTCCTGAGAGCTGGACCCTGTGCATCTGAGAAGGTTTCTATGGTGAGGGATAGCAGTGTGAGAGCCACGTAATATCACAGTAGCTCAGTCTAGAAAGAGCTACCTCATGGAGGCGTGGTGGCTCACACCTGTAAGCCTAGAATTGAGAGGCTAAAGTAGGATGAGTGCCAACAGTTAGGGGCTAGCCTGTGCTGCATAGTGACTTCTTGACCAGCCTGATGCTCTCACATCTGAGAGGAGACAACGGTGAGCTCCTTCACACAGCGCCTAACAGACTGAGATCTCATGGCTTAGTTCTCTCACCTCAAGGCACCCAAGTGTCCGGATGGAGGGTGAGGAAGCAGAAACCAGCCCTGGTGTGCTGAAAAGTGCTGGCTGTCACTGACAATGGCCACATAGAAAGTTTGCAGGAATGCGTGGCATTCTGCCACTCTGGCCCAACAGGATAGAACATGGACAGGAAGGGAATTGTGTATTTTTTTAAACTTGTACTGTGATTGCTGCTGATCCTAGCTAGCCACTGTAGAAGCCAGGAAAGAATTCTAAGTATCGGATGACCCTCGGTTCACAGGGGCAGATGTCAAAACAGGCAAAGGAGTACGTTCCCTGAGACTCCCCGGCCCACACTGTGGGAGCCACTCCAGCCTTTGCCTGGGAGCGAGCCGCCACCTCTTCCCTGACTGACCCCACTCTGGCCTGGACTATCCCAGGGCAGGGATGAGCAGAGTTCAAGGTTTTCGGTTCTGTGGCTGTGCCTAGATGGAGCTCACAGCCATGTACATGCCTCAGTCATGCCTCCCTGCAGGCTGCCAGGTGGACCCACTCCATTCCAAGCCCCTGTCAGCTACTCACTTTGCAGAATAGGGACGTAACCAGCTCCCAGGATGCCTGACCTGATCCGGGGCCCTGGACACCACCTCTCTCTCCCAGCCATCCACACAGAGGTTCCTGGCTTTCACCAGAGAGTCCACGTCTGCCTGACCAGCAGGTATTTATTTGAAATTCAGCTTCCTGGGTGTTGGGATTTAAAGCTTACCTTTGGTCTTCGCAGAACCCCTGGCTGCCTTTTTGGAACATCCCGTAGATGATGACCCAGGCTTGGGCTTCACCACTGACCACACCCATTACTTTCCTGTGAACAGTATAGTTTCTGTTGTTTTCCTTTACCCTCTCCTCCCCCCCCACACCCCTCTGCACTCTTTTGCCACTAGGGGGTGATGATCAGTCACTCACTGCCCATGTTGATCTTACTGCATTTGCAAATGAAGCCTGGGGATCCATAGCTATATTTAAGCAGTTGCTTTGGAAGCCGTAGCTGGAAGTTAGTAGGCAGACTCGATGGTGCAGCCCACAGCTAGAAGCCCTGTTGGGACCTCAGCCAGCAGCTGGGCCACAACGGAGAAGGCACAGTTAGAAAATAGGCAGCCACCCCTGGGGTGGCTCTAAGACTCACAAAGAACGCTAAGGGAAACCCGGTTCTCCCTGTGAGACATCCTTGGTGTTCCCCGCGCAGATCCCTGTTAACCTCTCATGCATCCCTGAGCTGCCTTCTTGGCTAAGCTGGCCAAGAGAAGCAACGAGGAGGGGAGGCTGTTGGTGGAGGAAAAGGCAAGAGAAACAAGTCGACCAGGCCAGGGAACACTGATCCCCATGTCACACAGAGCAGTCAGTGGCCCACGGCTCCACATCATGTACCCATGTGGTGACGTCTGTCCCTTAGGGTGACCTTAGAAAAAAGTGGTTAAGTAGCTTCACACCCTCTGATTTAGGAGGCAGAGATGGAGCCCCGCCTGTGCTCAAGTTCCATGGAAGGAAACGGATGCTCAACAACACGGATGTCCGTGTGCCCAGCCTTCACGGTGCCGCCTCACCCTGGCTTAATTGTGGTGGTGTTCCAGAGTTTCGCTCAGCACGGGATTAGTGCCAAGCTTCAGGATAGAGTGACGGGAGGTATTCAGACTGTGGGGAGCCCACTCTCTGCTTCCAGAAATGTGTAAATGATCGAGGTGGGTCAGGCTGTCTCCTGCCGTGACAGAGACCAGCCTCTTTATGAGAGCTTGCTCGTGGCTCTAACTGTGGAAGAAGTCTGGAACTAACCAGGTTCACATGGCTTCACGACCTAGAGAAGAGAGGTGGGAAGCCTATGGCTTGAAAATTCTTCTCCTAATCTCCAGGGTCTGTAGTCTCTTCCTTTAGAGAGGCCTCTTTAAACCCCTTTATTGCCATTCTGTTACCCGGACATATAGAGAGATATAATTATTTTGTGATCTGAGAGCTAATATTAACTATTAAGGTTGGAATGAATGCGGTTTCCAATGGCCAGCCACCAAGGGAAATTGGAGTACTTGGCACATTGCAGCTAATTAAATATCTGACATAGCTTCTGGGTTTATTGTTTGTCAATAAATTCTGACACATGGAACGCTATAAGCATATCCATCCATATTTCTACTGTAGCACACTCATGGCCTTTGTTCTGACCTGTGTGGACCAAAGCCAGGAGCTTAATCCTAAACCTGGCCTCCCGTCTTTTTAACACTGGGTGGGCTGTACGCTAGTACACGCATGTGCCTCTGCCTGGAGCTCCTCCCTTAGCAATCTCCCCCTCCTCCTCTGGCTCTCTTCCTGATGCCCAGCCCAGGCCCCGCCTCCCAGCTGTCATTCCCAAACTCTCGCCTTGCTGAGCCTTGGGGCTGCTCCACCACCAAATCCAGACTTCCTAGAGCGTGCAGCCCTGCTTTTCATGGGAACCCTGACCCACTGTCAAGCACAGAGAAGGCACTGAATCTGATAAGTGTGTAACTGAATCTGATAAGTGTGTAACTGAAACCTGATAAGTGTGTAACTGAAACCTGGTAAGTGTGTAACTGAAACCTGATAAGTGTGTAACTGAAACTTGATAAGTGTGTAACTGAAACCTGATAAGTGTGTAACTGAAACCTGATAAGTGTGTAACTGATAACATAAAAGAAAGGGAGCAGGGAGTTGGGCCAAGACCATAACTGCCTACCCCAACCCATCTTCTCCCCTTCTCCCTCAACGTAATCCTGAGGTTTTGTGTTTGATTTGTTTCTCTCAAGACAGGGTTTCTTTGTGTAGCCTAGACTGTCCTGGAACTTGCTCTGTAGACCAGGCAGGCCTCAAACTCAGAGATTCGCCTGCCTCTGCCTTCCAAGTACTGGAATTAAAGGTGTGTACCTGATGGGAGGTGTCATTCTGTAAATCTGTTTCCCTTATTGCTTGTTTAATAAAGCACTGTTGACCAATAGGGAAGCAAGATAGGTGGGACTAGGAGTCAAGGAGGATTCTGGGAAAGAGAGGCAGAGGGAGACACCATGTAGGCAGCCAGAGGAGTAAGAGGTCCGGACCCTTTTCTCCAGTAAGAGAAGAATTTAGATTAACAATTATGGGTTAAATACTTACGTCAGAGATATCCAGCAAGAAACAAGCAAACGGCCAACAGCTTTATAATTAATACAGCCTCCTGTGACTTATTTGGGGGCTCAGACGACGCAGCAGGGCCCAGGCAACTGGCAAGGAAAACTATACACATACCACCATTGCCTGGCTGATAATCCTAAATTGTTTTTAAAGGTTTATTTTATTTTTTATGTATGTTTTGTCTCTATGGGAGTTTTGTCTGTATGTATGTCTATACCAGATGAGTCAGATTCCATTAAAGACAGTTGCGAACTGCCACACGAGTGCTGGGAATTGAACTCAGGACCTCTGGAGGAGCAGCCAGTGCTCTTAACTGCTGAGCTGTCTCTCCAATCCCCAGTCCTGAGTTTTACATAGCCACAGTGCCACCAACTTAAAGACTCGTTTCCCGGCTTCCCTGTGGCCAAGCCTGACCAATGACGTTTGCCCACATTAGAACTCCTTGAGCTGCTCACTTGAAGGGATGAGATGGGGGACTGGCGAGCTGTTTCGGGGGCTGCTCTTTCTGAGGACTCTGACTCCATTCCCAGCACCCTCGTGGCAGCTTGCGACAATCTGTGAGACCAGACCCAGGGGATCAATGCGCTCCTGCCTCTGTGCATACCAGACACTCACATGGTACATGCACATCAATGTAGATAAAACACACACACTCACACACACATGCACACACACACTCACACACATGCACACACTCACACACGTGTATACTCACACTCACACACACATGCACACACTCACATGCGCACACACTCACACAAGAGAATTTATTTCCTTAAAGGCTGACATAAGTGCTGAAGAGCTGACCTGTAAGAGTGCTTGCTGCACTTGAGAACCCTAGTTCAAATCCTCGTCACGCACATAAAAAGCCAAGCATAGCCAGGGGCTCCGGGGGGGGGTAATGGCTCAGACTCTCTGGCTGCCTCAGTTCTAGTTTCAGTGAAAGACCCTACCTCAGCGGAGCAGGCAAGGAGGGATGGAACAAGTCATCCAGTGTCCTCCCTCCGGGCATGTGCAGGTGTGTGTGCACCTGCAGATACACGTGTGTGCTCACGCACACCACATTCACGCATGTGCTCACACAAGTGTGCATGAGATGGGCTGCCAATGTAGCTCAACGGTGAAGCTCTGGCCTGGCGTGCTCGGGGCTCTGGGCTCCACCCCTAGCACTGCAAACAGTAAGTGAAGGAGATGGGATGAGCGGTGTCCTCCTTTCCCCCTTGCCTGCTGGGATGTAATGAATGGCCTGCCCACCGCCATTTTGGACTGTGAGATAACTTTGAGGCTAAGACAATGGAGGTGCGG